AAAGAGAGGAATAAGTTAAAAGGACAAGTTCTATTTAAAAATTTGTTCAGGAGCTTTACCAGTAAAGGCTTAAACCAGATGGAACTGACAAAGCAAAATAGCCAATCATCAATGGTAGCAGATTGGTTATGGCTTGGGAACTCTTCACATTCGGATCATTGCTCTGAAAATGATTCAACTAACAAGCTTCATCATATATAAATTACTAATAAGAAAAAATTGTCACGTAAAATGCTATTTTGTTGATGCAAATGTTGCAACAGTGCCCTTTCCACAACACTCTCCATCATTAATAAGAAATTTCAGGATTGAAATGGAATCAAGAGAAAAAATATGACTGTTGTGAAAATATATACCAAGCGAACACACTATGGGATATGCAAAGTACAACAGCGAGAACATAAAACGAACATTGTTGCATACAACTCAAAAAGAACAACTCATAATTATAACTTTGTCATGAAAACAGTGCCTCTTACTTGATAACCATTTTTTGGGGGAAGGAGAAACAATATTTTATAACACATGAGACAAACCTGTGGGGGTTGCATAATCTGTACAGAAATATACTGTGTAATAACCAGAAGCAGAGGCAAGATGAGATATGCANGAGAATTAGAATGACACCAACTTGGGTTAGCACAATTAAAGTTAAAAGAAAAATGGCATCATAACGCAAAAGGTTTAATACACTGAGGAAGAATAGGATCTACAAATAGGTGCAGTGTCTAAATTTAGATAATATAGCCATAGCACAAAGCTTTGTAATTGAGATATCACACACAGAGTCACACTAAAAAGAGTAATTGAGGGAAAAGCAATACGACAATGAAAGAGAGAGATGAGGCACACACCTATATATGATAAAACTATTATAATCTAATATATCTACTCATTTATAATCAAAATTCAATATTGTATATTGTGAATATAACATTTTAGAATGTCAGCCGAAAATGTGCTAAAAGACAAACCTCTGCAACTAGAAGTAACTGAAAACAAACATGAAATTCGGAGAAGGAAAACTTACAATGAACGGGAAAAGCCATGAAGTACCACTACCAGTTTGCCGAGCAGCAATAGTCGTGGGCCCAGAGAGTGAGGGTATCCAAAAGAACCCCTCAGTTAGAAGTCCCTGCAAAGTCCAAAGGGATGTGGCATAATATATTGTGAATTGTAATAGGTAAGGAGAGAGAGAAAGAGGAATTGTAATTCACCTCGTCAGCTACATTTGAAAGAGCTCTGTAGAGCCCAATCCATATGGGGATTGTAGCAAGAGTAGGAAGACATCCTGATTATACAAAACATACATACTTGACTTGAGTATGAAGAACAGTAAAAAGAACTCAACTTTTATAGTTTTTAAACAGTTAAACTGCTTCCTCTCCGAGAAGACAGTAAAAAAATAACATTTCCCCCTTTTGTCATCTGTTTCTTTTCTTAAGCTCAAGTCAAGAAAAAGGGTCCGGAGATAGGGTATAGTACCTGCAAGTGGATTTATGCCAGCCAGTTTGTACAATCGAGCTGTTTCGAGTTGTATTTTCTCCTGTACCAATAATATGTAAGAAAACACAATGGGAAAAGCAACAAATTTATGGAACAAAAAAAAAATCTCAAAATTGTATCATTCACAATAATAATAAATATAATAATATATTTATACTTATTCAAAGAGAGTCTCAGATAAACAGTACCAAGAGATATTTAAATTAAGAAAAGAATGGTCCTTTGAAAGACGAAGATTAACCTGATTTCCAGCATATCTTTCCTGAATAGCCTTTATTTGAGGTGCCAAAGATTGCATGGCCATTGCCGATTCCACCTACACATGATAGTTTATAAACAGGCAAAAAGAAGGACTGGACATTTACGTAGAAGATTTTGATATATGCATAAATAAATCTAAATTCTCAGAATAGCAACTACCGTGAAGATATGTCAAATAGGAGCAGATAATAACCTGTTTCTTTGACAAAGGAAAAGTAGCAGCCTTAACAAGAACTGTCAGTAAAATGATGGCAAAACCATACGCATAAGGGACGTGCAGAGTGGAAAGTCCATCTTTAAGAACCTGAAAAACAGTACAGACATTTAACACCTAATATCAATGTAGCTTGCATAACTAATCAACCTGGAAAAGAATTTTAAATGAAGTCATAGCACACTGCATAACAAGGAATGTATTAGGTTTCTCTCTTCTCTAGTCCTCAATATCAAAGGTTAAATAGAGGTAGAGCAGTTCACCAATTCTCTTGACAATGTATCCTCCAATGCACAGCTTTCATTCATTAATGATAGCAAGGTTACACGAACTAAGTACTCGTTGTAGCTCAATAGTCAATATAAATAAAATCACCAACAAACAATTTCACAAGTAGATATGCGGCAGATTCGTGTGATCAACTTGCTGAACTGTTCTAGCTATTGGCAAAGATTTAACTATTAGTTATTAGAAACTAAACATACTGTTAGGAACAATCTAGCAATTATGCCGATTGATAATTGATTCACTTACTTATGTGTCTGTATAAATAGGTCAACACTTTTCATTTTGTAAGCAAGTAATAAGTGTCCAAAAAAGTGTCACCAAAGTGTATTATTGTCTTCTTAAAATTTAGAGTTAAAATAATTTTGTAATTACTTTTTTCAATCCAAGAAAATAAAGTATGCCATTGTCTACATCTTGCTTAAGTACCAACACTCACATGGTACCCTCTGCAAAAGGTGTTAATCCAAGTCTTCTTAATATATCTGACACTTGCCCCTCCACTCCCCTCCTCCCAAAACTATTATCAGAAATAAGTACATTACGCCTAAGGAGTGTAAAGATGAGTAGGTTCTCCCCACTAGAAATTAACCATATGAGTAACTATTTAATCTTAATCATTACTTGATGTCCCTAATGATTCAAGTTCCTCTGTTGCAAGTAAGCCAATGAAAATGCAAAGAGCCGTTACTAAACATGAAAAGCATTAAAAGAAGAAATGAAACAAACCTATAGAATAATATCCAATTTCTAATAATTGTCGTTACAGGATTTTCAGCTAGTGTAATGTTTCCTATTGGGGGATGATTACGAAGCAGTACACATATTTTCTACAGAAAAAATATTATAAAAAAAAAAATAAAAAATAAAACAGTAAACTTTTAATGTTATATCTCAATGGTTACAATTACCTGCGGGCAAGTTTGGACATATAACAGCTCTTTACACCATAAATTATGTAGTAAATCATCAACTCAAGTCACTCAACTCTCATTAGATTATCTTTTACAAAGCCCATTACAGAAAAGGCAATTACAAAAGACACTTTTGCAACAGTAGGATTCAGTATGAAGCCAAAACACATAAAAGTCAGGCTGTGTTGACCATGTAGGTTTTCAACTACTTACATTTGTTGCTCAAATGCATAATTAAAATAAAAAAAGTTTAGTTGATAATGATACCAATTGATATCATCTCTCGCAAAATCTTGAGCACGAGGCTCACTGAGAGACTAATCCATCTCATCTAATTAGTCCGTTCGAATTACCCAAGAGAATCAGTAACGTGAGACAACCCAATAACAGCCCAACGGTATGTTTTGATTTTGGTAATTGGCTATAATTAGGTCAGATCATACTTAGTTCTTTGGTCTAATTGTTTATCAAATTATTGAACTCTTTGGTCTAATGGTTTATCAAATTTTTTGAACTTTCCATTTCATGTTTTAAAGATAGCACGACTTCTAGATGAGATTCCCAAACCACAACTTAGAAGCAATTTTATACAAGCAATCATGGTACTCAGCAACACTTTTCTCTGTCCTATACAAGGTTATCATGCAAAACACAATTCTATAATCATATCTTAGCAAGGAAAAGGAAACAAAAGATTTTTACAATTTCTAAACAAACCTTCAGTACAACTTCCATGACATTGGTAATCCCAGAAAGCCAGTCGCTACTCTGCTTGTTTGTACTAACTGCATCAACTGTATCCGAATAACTAACTGTAGCGTCAGCAATAGTGTAAAGAAACCCTTCAACTCTACCAATCAAATCTGTAAAAAACAGCTCGGCGTTTTCTGGGTCAGGAGACGGAAACTGGCCGAGACCAAATCGGGCCAACCCAAGACTGCCCCTAAATAAGGGTTTATGTGTAGAGAAATTGCTGAAATTGGCTCTTTGAAAAACTGGGTTCACAGTTCTTATTCTTGTTCTGCCTGGGGATGGAGATACTACTACATTTGGCCCGATAGAATAAAGAAAAGTCGACATCTTTTTTCTGAAAAATATATATTCCCTCTCTCGGGTGTGAAGGAATGCCAAAGAACTTGGCAACGACGACCTTGTGAAGATATATTATTAGATGAGGAAACGCAGACAGTGTCGACGAAAGATGGAAAATATGAAAGGTTTTTTGTTTTTGTTTATTTGGAAAATAAGAAGGGTTTTTTCTTTTTTCATTTTTTTTTTATAAAAAAAACCAGAGGAGGGTTAAGATCATATCCCTAAGTCAATACCCTAAGGACTTAATTGTTTATAAAATAATTTACTCAACTTTATTTGTTACTCAAAATCTAACTCAATTTTAACTAAGTCTCACTATCTTTAATATTATTTATATAATTAAATAATATAAACTAATTATTTTTACACATCACATCAATTTTAATTTACTATTCATCCACTCACATAATTTTAACTACCTATCATTTTCAATCATTTTCAATTATTTATCTCCTACTTTTACATCAAATTAATTTTACGGATAATTCCTTATAAATCCCTAACTCATATTTCAACTTCTTTGTCAGTCCCCATCACTTTTAAACTTCCTTATCACTCCCTAAAGCTAATTTCTCTTTCCAAATCACTCCCCATATACTACTTTTATTATTATTATTATTATTATTATTATTATTATTATTATTATTATTATTATTATTATTATTATTATTCGAGATTTTTCAAAATTAGGTATTTGATTGATGCTAATGCTATGATTATGTGTTGTCCTCAAATTAATTTTGATGTTCCTTGAAAATCTTGTTACACTTGTTCCTGATGTTGATATAAGCTTCCATGAACGATCCTCTCCCCCCTTTGTCTTTTACAATTTATACGACAAGTTCGTATCTTGTACACTGTCAAATCTGTGTCGTTATCTTACATTTTCATAACAGGGATGGGCAATTTTTGTGTATGTACAATTCTGAATTTGCATTAAATCAGTAATGCACCATATTGCCACCGTAACATTGAATTGTGACTGCAATATGGGCAGGGCACTTGTTTTGATCCCTTTTTTTCTCTCTGAATAAATAAATAAATAAATGATTTCATGATTTATTTGTTAATTCTAACTTAACTCTTTGATAAATGGATATTCCAGACTCTGTCAAGGAAAGGAGCACAAATCAGTCAATTTTGTGCACAGCAACTTATAAAAGCAAAGTGAGTATATATGGCTTGGGGTTGATTGAGAGTCACAAAACGGTCAAAACTTTGAACAACCGAGCAAATGATGGTAGGCAATTTTTGAACTCGAGCATTTACTGTTGAGCTCGGATGCTAATGTTGCGAGAGTTATCTATATGCCTATGCCTTTTCTATTTTGTGAATATTGCCTTAGATCTTTGCGGATGCTATGATTATGTGTTGTCCTCAAATTAATTTTGAAATTCTTAAGAGTTCCAACATATATATACATTTTGAAGCATGATGGGAACATCTAGTTCATTTTGTTTTTCCACTTGAACTTGCTCACATTGCGTGAACAAAAATTTGTAATTGAATTTTCTTCCAAACAAATTGAAATCGAATTCTATTAGACGTTGAATTTGAATGGGAAATTGTTTGTTTGGTATTGGTGCTTCTGTTTGGTTCTTCATTGTTAAAATGGCTGAGGAAATGGAGTGGGTGTGTTATAACAATTTGAATATAAATTAGGGCTGAGGTATTGTGTGGTGTTTTATATCAATTTGAATATGAATTAGGGCTGAGGTGTTGTTTGGTGTTTTATATGAATTTGAATAGCAATTAGGGTTGTGGTGTTGTTTGGTGTTTTATATAATTTTGAATGAGGTGGTGTTATTGTTAAAATGAGTTGAGGTGTTGTTATTGTTGAATTGTATCGTTGTTCGTATCTGTTTCTTATGTTTGAAAATTGTCTTAATTTTATTTGTTTTTGATAGGCACCGAACTAAGATGTATGTGTGCCCCCTCATACTTCAAATTATTGGTTGGCGAGCTAGTTCGTCATTCCCAATCGTGCGAAGATCATACTTCGATGGATGTGCTATTAGTTTTATTGTTTGATGGATGATTGTAATTTTATGGATGATGGTTTGTGGACTAAGTAGTTTGAATGGATGTTTTGGATTTTTTTGATTTGATTCCTATTGATACCTGTTTTCTTAATATTAGTACCGCATTTTTGGTGTAAAAGTACTCATTTTCCAGTAGTTAGTACTCATTTAAGGATGTGTTTTTAAACTGTATACCAATTTCTATTCATAGTAGTACCTATTTTCTTCACAATAGTACCAGTTTTGTATTGTTATAGTACCGAATATTAGCTCATCAGTACCACTTGTAACGAACACATAAAACACCGAATTTCGGTCTCAAATGATGTTTACATGACAAATAATCACTCTCACACTAGTTTTTATGAGATTAATAATGTTTTTAATTAAGTTTAATTGCAAATTGGTCGCGAACTCGACACACTAATGAAAAAACACTACCAACACTTCATCTCATTAAAATTGTACCAGTTTTAGGAAAAATAATATTGCATCTTCTTCTACGTGGTACCTGCTTTTGATCGATTAGTACCTGCTTTTGTGAAGAAAAATTGATTATTTCAATTGTGGTCAACATTTACAAAAAGTAGTACCAGTCATAATGTAAGACAGTACCACTTTATGGCGTGTTAGTACCAGATATCGTCTCTCTAGTACCACTTGTAATGAACACATAAGAAGACCGAATTTCGGTTGAAATGATGTTTATACGACCCATAATCACTCTCACATTAGTTTATATAAAATTTTAAATGTTTTTTATTGAGCTTAACCGCAAATTGGTCATGAACTCGATGCACTAATGAGAAAACACTACTAATAGACTTCATTTCATTGAATGACACACTTCATCTCATAGAAATCATCATACATGACTACTCCAAATTCTACCTATATGTTTTCACTTCCACTTTTTTTTTTTTTATCCAAATCACGTGTGAACGATCCACATGATAGACATGAAGGATTAGAGAAATCGCGATTCTGAAAATAGTACCAGTTTTGGGCAAAATAGTACCGCATCTTATTCTACGTGGTACCTGCTTTTGATCGATTAGTACCTACTTTTGTGAAGAAAAATTGATTGTTTCAATTGTGGACAACATTTACAAAAAGTAGTACCAGTCATAGTGTAAGTCAGTACCACATTATGGAGAGTTAGTACCAGATATCCTGTCCCTAGTACCATTTGTAATGAACACATAAGAAGACCGAATTTCGGTCGCAAATGATGTTTATACGACCCATGATCACTCTGACATTAGTTTATATAAGATTTTAAATGTTTTTGATTGAGTTTAATCGCAAATTGGTCATGAACTCGATACACTAATGAGAAAACACTACTACTAGACTTCATTTCATTGAATGACACACTTCATCTCATAGAAATCATCATACATGACTACTTCAAATTCTACCTATATGTTTTCAATTCCAATTTTTTTTTTCATCCAAATCACGTGTGAACGATCCACGTGTCATGGTAGACATGAAGGATTAGAGAAATCGCGATTTTGATAATAGTACCAGTTTTGGGCAACATAGTACCGCATCTTATTCTCTGTGGTACCTGATGTTGATCGAATAGTACCTACTTTTTTGAAGAAAAATTGATTATTTCAATTCTGCTCAACATTTACAAAAAGTAGTACCAGTCATAGTGTAAGTCAGTACCACATTATGGAGAATTAGTACCAGATATCCTGTCCCTAGTACCACTTGTAATGAATACATAAGAAGACCGAATTTCGGTCGAAATGATGTTTATACGACCAATGATCACTCTGACATTAGTTTATATAAGATTTTAAATGTTTTTGATTGTGTTTAATCGCAAATTGGTCATGAACTTGATACACTAATGAGAAAATACTACTACTAGACTTCATTTCATTGAATGACACATTTCATCTCATAGAAATCATCATACATGACTACTTCAAATTCTACCTATATGTTTCCAATTCCACTTTTTTTCATCCAAATCACGTGTGAACGATCCACGTGTCATGGTAGACATGAAAGATTAGAGAAATCGCGATTTTGATAATATTACCGATTTTGGGAAACATAGTACCGCATCTTATTCTGCGTGGTACCTAATTTTGATCGAATAGTACCTACTTTTTTGAAGAAAAAGTACCAGTCATAGTGTAAGTCAGTACCACATTACGGAGAGTCGGTACCAGATATCTTGTTCCTAGTACCACTTGTAATGAACACATAAGAAGACCGAATTTCGGTGGCAAATGATGTTTATACGACCCATGATCACTCTGACATTAGTTTATATAAGATTTTAAATTTTTTCTATTGAGTTTAATCGCAAATTGGTCATGAACGCGATACACTAATGAGAAAACACTTCTACTAGACTTCATTTCATTGAATGACACACTTCATCTCATAGAAATCATCATACATGACTACTCCAAATTCTACCTATATGTTTTCAATTCCACTTTTTTTCATCCAAATCACGTATGAACGATCCACGTGTCATGGTAGACATGAAGGATTAGAGAAATCGCGATTTTGATAATAGTACCGGTTGTGGGTAATATAGTACCGCATCTTATTCTGCGTGGTACCTAATTTGGATCGATTAGTACCAACTTTTGTGAAGAAAAATTGATTATTTCAATTCTGATCAATATTTACAAAACGTAGTACCAGTCATAGTGTAAGGCAGTACCAAATTATGGCGATCTAGTACCAGATATCCTGTCCCTAGTACCACTATAATGAACACATAAGAAGACCGAATTTCGGTCGCAAAATGATGTTTATACGACCCATAATCACTCTGACATTAATTTATATGAGATTTGATATTTGGTTAATTAAATTTACTCGCAAATTGGTCACGAACTCAACACACTAATGGAAAGCACCTTAATACACTTCAACTCATTGAATGGTACCAGTTTCTACAGAAATAGTACCTCTTTTTCTTCTACGTAGTACCTTATTGATCGATTAGTACCAACTTTTGTGAAGAAAGATTGATTATTTCAATTCTGCTCAACATTTACAAAAAGTAGTACCAGTCATAGTGTAATGCAGTACCACTTTATGGCGCGATAGTACCAGATATCATGTCCCTAGT